CCTGCGGGGCACGTGGGGGACAGCCAGCCCCGGCGGGAGGCTCGCTCGCTGGGCCCAGCCTCGGCCTGTGGCCCCGCTGCCTGGCGCCCCGGGGCAGTGCGAGCCCCCTGTGAAGCGTTTGCCCATCTCATGGCGCCGCCGCGTGTCACAGCGCGGAGGGGGCTGACTCGCACACGCTCTGGGAAGCAGGCGATCTGGTCCTCCCTGATCTGCATGCCTTGCCATCTCCCTGTGAATCGGGGATGCCCTCCGGGCTAAAGGGCAGCTGGGAGGGGGGCTGGTGAGCACCCGTAAAGTAGTCATATGCAAAGCCAAGCTGCCTTGCGAGCAGGACGTAGCTAGGGTGCGTTGAACCGATCTAAACGCCGCGTTAGAGAGGCGCGAAGTGCCGACCGCTCTGCTGAGAGAAGGCTCGGTGTTTGGTCCCGCTGTCAAAGGGTCAGCGGTGTCAGGGCATGGTGGGGTGAGCCAACGTGCGCTTCCTGCCTGTCACGGTAGGACGAGGTTTATAACTGCTGTATCGGTATCGGCCCCGATGCTGCTGACCTCATTCTGGTGCCTTAACGTCCCCAAGAGTTGGCCTCAGTGCTGTGAGGCTTTGATGCACAGAAGTCCGACTTGCAGCACAGCAGCTCTCCTGAGGACCATAGGACTCCTGAGGACCTGTGACTATACCAGCGTTCGCCTGGTTTTAGCGAGCGGGAGTATACGTGGCTGTAACTGTGAGTTGCTGGTTGCGTTCAGCGCTCCACCTTGAGGCCCTTTTACCAAAACATTGGTGAGAGCGGGACAGGCGCTTCATTGCAGCCACCCTGCCAAAGGAGGCTGGCGGGTTATAGCCGTTTGCTTGATGCTTAATTCCCCTTCCAACTTCGCGTCACTGGTTTGCAGCCAAAAGTGGGAGGAGCAGTTTTTTTGTTCTTGTTAAAGAGCTTAAATAGACCCAAATGTAGTGTGTGTGTGTTTGTTTTCCAGGAACCACGCTCAATCTGCTAAAATTTCCAATTATTAACCCTACGTGTGACAGGATATTTCGAAGGCAGGAGCGACTGAAAGCAGAGGCAGAAAAAACAGAAGACCAGCTAAGTAATGAAGAAAAAAAGTACCTTAATCATCTTAAAAAGGAGGGTTACTTAGTGGGTGAGTATTGTCAGACAAAAGGTATCGCCTTTCTGTCCTGATGAAAATAGCGTGCTACAGGATGGACTGTTAACTCCTTAATTTGCTATAAAGTCCAGCTATTGATGAGTAATTTCTTCCACCCTGAAGCAACTCATCTTCACTTACTTAAGGGAAGAACATGCTAGCTACAGTGACAATAAAAAACTTGCAAGTAGGCATTAAAGTTATTCCGACCAGTTTTTATCCCAAGTAATGCTTGCAAGAGCTCTAGCTCCTTCCAAAGTAGTGCGGTTAGCATTTCTTTTGCATACTTATTTTTCAGCTGTCACAGTAGTCACATGGCAGAAGTTTCCCCTGTGCAGCGCACCTCCCATCAGTTCAGATGTCTTAATGAATTACAAGGATGCTGCGATAGAGCACACCTCTTTCATTCCTGAAGAAGACAAGGAAGTTGAATTTTAATGAGGACGTTTGGGTAGTAGGCCACAGTGGTTGTACATCAGTTTAGCATGTAGCCTGAAGAGGGGGTTGCCAAGAGATGGCTTTGACTTCAGGAGCTTGAAATGACTGTGAAATCTGCAGTCAGTCATGAAGTTGTGGTTTGGATCATCCTTCATTGCGCTATATCCAGAGCAAAAGATAAAACACAGTCGTTTGTGTTTAAATGGGGGTATGACCTGTGTCTGGACACCTATGTCATAAGACATAAGAGGAGTAATTCACTGTCTCTAAAATGGAAAAAGGACCTTGTTGCACTGTATCGTAGTTTGTGCGCATCTGAATAATTCTGTGTTTGAAAGCTGAAGGCCCTAAAAAAAAAAAAGGCAGTCAACAACAAACAACAACAAAAAGGCCGTCTCCTTTACAGTTAAATAACGGGGCATTTGTGATCTGGTCACTGCGAAGGATTTGGGCTCGAGGAGGGTTAGGCAATAAATATAGAAGGAGTTCATTAGCCCTGCTGGCTCTTGAGCAGCCACGTTTCTGGCTGCATATCATCTTTGTCACTGTTAGGTTACCTGTGGTGCACCTCTTTTCAGGTAGGTAAGGAAGGGAAGGGACAGATATCTGACTGAAGGAAATGCAAGTTAATAAATTAATTACCCGGAAACTTTTTGGTTTAATCCAGGAAGAGTGGGAAGAACGTTCCAACAGCAGAAGCCTAGCCCTGTGGTTGACTTTGACCCCGACATGCTCTCGTACAGCGTAGACGAAGATCCCGGCTATTCCCCTCAGAAGCACAAGATAAAGGAAGAGTTCACGTACAACGAAGTGAAGGATGCTCGCTGGTGTTTTGACACGCCAGGGATTGTAAAGGAAAACTGCGTAGGTACTCTGTGGTGCTGTGTCACAGGAGGTCAAGAGATTAGGAGGACTGTCCTGCCTTAGTTGTGCACATGGGAAAGTATTTCTGCTCTGCTCCTAGGCTTAGGAGTCTCTCAGTTTGGGTGAACGTGTTAAAAGGTAGGGGGTTTCTTGTTTTTCCTTGTTTGTTTGTTTTACCTGGGAAGGGTGCGTTATGTAACACTATTGCATTCCTGAATGACGTACACTGTGATCTTCGCAAAGGAACAATACAGGCAAACTTGTAAACAGTTAAATGAAGAGAAGTGAATAACAGTGTTATAAGCAAGTTTATACCAGCATTGCCCAAGGAAGCTTGCACTGTCTTAGCTCTGCCAGCCTACTGAACAAGGTGAAGTTACCACATACGGAGCGTTAGGAGAATAGCTAGTATTTTGTGACTGGACCAAATCTTTGAAAAAGACCTGAAGTATCTTCCTGAAGCCAAGCGGATTTGCAGTCTTCCCATTAATAGCCCCAGTATGTCAGGCGTGACTCTCTGTTTCACTAGAGCAGCAGCTCTGAAGCCGGTGCTGATGTATTGCACGTGTCTGAAAAAGCTATGTTTTGATTGTTTTGGTGTCTGTGCAGAGCTGAGGGTCATCTTTTTGGGAAGATAAAAAGTACAAGGAGGTAGAAAAGTTCCAAAGGGAATGAAGTGCAAGAAACATACTGAGGCTGCATAGCTCAAGTACCAATGCTGCTTTTACAAGCACTACTACCAGTTTTCTGATGGACGTGTGTGTCCTATCGCAACCCACTTTGCCGTGGCCCTTCGCTCTCTGCTGGCTGCTAAGCATCTGGTATAAAAGACATCAGGGGCTTGGAGCCTTGGTTTGGTAACTAGAGGTTGGGCATGTTATTTTGGAGTTGAATAAGTGGGAAATGAGTGGGTTTTCCTGCATCCAGGAAATTCATGATGCCATTTCTGATTCTGATTATCCTTGCTGTGTCTTCGGAGAGATTAGGTGGAATATATGCCAAGTTTCAGGTCAAATTTTGTTTCTGCAGTCAGTGTTCACTTTGGCTAGAGGACAGGCAGGATGATCTGTGCGCCAAATTTTGGCGGGGTAGACTTCCAGTTGGGGGTGGGGGTAGTTTTTCGTATTTTGGAAGAAGAGGGAGGGAAAGCAGCTGTTAACATATTTGTCTGTGTTCTTTAGAGGTTCGTTTTTAGCTGCTTCCTCATGCCTTCTTACAAAGCCAAACTTCTGGAAAGTGTAGCAAAGGGTTACTGGTAACTCTCAAATTTGGGTTTTAAGCATTGCCAAACACATCAGAAAACCTGCAGCTGGCAGAGCAAAGCCTCCTGGCGTTCCAGAATCCATGCTAAAGGCTGCCATGGCTTTCAAACTAAAGATCACTTGCTCACCGCCGTAGGAAAAGCATTTGTGCTTCTGGCTGCACCACAACCCTTGTAGCTCAGTCGTTTAATGCCGAAATGAGATAGATGAGTCCTCATTGCTGAGCTGCTCAGTGAACCTGAATTTTCATGAGGCTGTCATGTTTTTGGGGGACACAGTTAGAAGCAATTCTGCCCTCAGTTTTCTGTGTTTAGGAAAGGGATGCCATCAACCTGGAGACCAGTCATTTCCTTGAGATTAGCTGTGACTTTTCAAGGCAGTAGTCCCCAAATGTTTGTGCCTGTACATTCATTCGTACCTGGGTTTGAAGAGTGCCTCTTTAGGATGTGATTAGACCACAGTGGCTGCAGCACTGCCGGTTAAGTTGCTGGCTTTTTAGTAGAACTGTTGACCCGGATCATTTCACAGAATCAGGCCTGGACAGATGAGCCAGTTAAGCCAGGTGGACAGGAAGACGACAAGCAGCAGGAGCATTTGGGAGCTCTTGCGAATGGGATAGCTCATTTCACCATGCCTTGAGTAGAAATCCATGCTCTGTGGCAGGCCAGTCACACTGCAGTTTTAGTTGCTTCACTGGCACTTTGCTCTCACTGAAATACTTGCAGCTAACACCTGAATTAATGTTGCCGCACCTTAGGTCGCTAGCTAAGTAGCTATAGCAGCTAAAGGTGGTCTCCAGTTGTTCTGCAGATGGCTGCACTCATGCTAAAGCACATCTAATGCAAGTAAAGATTTTTCCTTGTCAAAGACTGTAGCACATGGGCTGCAACACCATTATTTTTGTGGTCTGCACTCTTGGTATTGCAGGCAGAGTTGTTAAGAGCATGAGCATATTTTAAAAGAGAAAAAAGATGAGCTGCTTTTCTAACTGAGGGTAAACTATGTTCTTTGTAGTGATAGCTACCGGGCTGCTGGCAACTCTTGGACTTTACGGGCCCTGTGCTGCCATGCAGAATGGGCACATCCTTGCCTCCTCCTCCTCCTCACTTACTGTGTGGACCAGAGCTGGAGAACTGTTCTGTTAGATGTTCTCCACGCTGCTCTACTTGATCTTTTTACTCTATTATAAAGTATTAATTTAACTGTCCCTGTTGAAACATCTGGAATGAGTCATGGCTGTGCAATTTCGTTTGCAGGTTTTAAATCTCCTGACAGAGAAGGAAGTAAAGCTGGTTTTGCCAACGCATGCCATCGTTCCACGGACCTTCATCCTCAAGCCAGAAATGGTCTTGTTTCTAGCAGCTTTGGGACGTATAGACTATTTACAGGTACGGGAAGAAAGGATTTTGTGAGCAATTGCTCCATCTCTTGTTATAGTACCAAATGATAAAAGGCCATCTAGGTAGCTTTCTCCCCTCTTTCTTTATCTGCTGCTCTTGAGATGATGAACCTGTTAATAAAGTAGAATAAAGCATAAAGTAGAAGCATCTTAGGATGGGGAGTTGCATTTGAAAGGTCTGATACTTGATACCAGCCTGGAATAACTGTATTATATAATGTTGACTGATTTTGAACGCTGACCAACACTTTCAGCTTGGTGGGCTTCCCACGACATACAAATCAGCACAAGACAGGGAGGGACAAGAGCACCAGGAGAAAGTGTTTTCCTCCTTCGCCGTATTTCATGAAAGCTCTCTGTCAAGAGAGGAAAATATGGGCATTTGTCTGTCCTGAGAGGGAGCTCTCTGAGGAATTTACCCAAAGAAGTGAGGAGATACACATGGATTTTAGCGTCTGTAAAAATGTATTTTTAAAAGGCTCTTTTTTTCCGCCTAACTTCTTCCCCTTGTTAGAAATCCTGTATGAAACATCTTTGAGCGGTGTGGAGCTGGCCTCCCATGATGTTACCTCCGGAAGGAGTGGTTCCCCCTTGGGTCTAGTGCTAATGATAATGCCCTTCTCAGTAGTTTGCCCCATTTTGGGAAGAAGGACCCATAACGGAGGGGGAGGTGTAGGACTACCCCTTTGTTTCAGCCAGCTTTCCAGGATCCCTGTAGAAATGCTGGATTGGTACTTTGCTGAGGATGTTCTTGGCCTGCTGGAGGAAAAGCAGTAATGTGAAGGTAGTAGGATGCTGAAAGTAATTGTGTGACAGTATGGCAGGAGAGCTCCAGGGTAGCTATGGGGAGAACCCAGAGCCCTGGCCCGAAAACCAGCTCCGCAGCCTGGAAGTGCGACACCTCCCTTGGGAAACATGCTGTTGGTGAGCAGAGCAACCCATCAGAAACAGCAGCCTTTACCCGCATCATCTTGGGCAAGGCTGTCAGAAAAGGACTTCCTGGTGAGGTGAGTCAGACATTATCAGGAACTTGAGGATGCACTGCATCCTTTTCTAAGCAGGACAGCGATATAAAAGTGACAGCTTGCCCGAAGAGGCTGCATGTTGTGGGCAGCCAGCACCCTCTGCAGAAGCGCTGCAAGGTCGGGACGATGGATGAGTGCAGATGAGGCCGAGACAGTTCTCTCATGTGATGCAGAGAAAGAGAACGGGGCAGCCGTAGGACTGAGCGTGGGGATGATTTTGTCACGAATGACAACTTTTTCTCCTGTGAGTTGTGAAGAATGCAGCCGGTGCTGGCAGCCTGGGGAACCTGAAGTCGGGGCAAGGAAGCAGCATGCCAGGCCCAGATGAGAGGGTCAGGGCTCAGAGAGACATCCGAGGTGGCAGGGCTGGTGTTGGGGCTTTGTGCCATAGGCTTGTCCTCCATGTAACAGTGCTCCTGACAGGCAGGGCTGTCCCCGTTTGGAGCCGTGCAGCTTCTCACTATCTGCCTTAGCCCGTTCTTTACCAATCTTGCCTAACAGCATGCTCCAGCGACCTTGAAGAAAGTCAGTTATGCCCAGACTGTGGGCATAGAGGAGCCCCTGCCTCAAATTAGGTCTATGATGAACTTGGAGTAGTTGCTGCCCTTGTTTTGGACTGCTGGGAGCGTATGCAGAGGTCTTACCACTCGGCAGCCTTGTTTGCTTCTCATGCAAAGGTTATGAGAGCACCTGCTGGAAACAGCCCCCCTGTCAGCCTTTGCAATGCTCAAAGGCAGATCGGAGCCAAGCACGGTTCAACAAGAGTTACATGTTAGATATGCAAAGTGAATGGAGAGGATGTACCCAACAGATGATGTCCACCACCCTCCTCGTGCTCAATAACTGCACTGAGTTTGTTCTTGAGAACGAAACTTGAGGGAAGACATCTTTTGAATGGTTTGCCTGAGCTGAGCAGATACAGCAGGAGCTGCAGTGTCAGGGAGGCTTCAGAGTGGGAAGCCTTGGTGAAGCCTTGGGTGCTTCTGCTCTCCTGGAAACCCATCTCTGTGATAAACCCTGGCTGCTCTGCCGTGACACAGAGGCAGTGGCCTGTCCTTAGGCAGGGAAGGGATGTCGCTCAAACAGGCTTCCGATACGTAGGAGAGAAATGGAGCACGAGAGAGCAGTTTGGGGTGTTTTTTCTGTTGTCATAAGTAACATCCCCTTCTTTTGATTTATATCAGGGAGAAAAACCTGCCTGGTTTTCTGTCGTGGCTTCTAATCTGTTGCCTGTCCATGTTACTGCCATGTGTAAAGCGGATGCCATCTATGAGAAGCATGCTGGCAAGGAGTTACTGAAGGTAAGAGAAGGAAGTGTGGTCATGGGCTCTTGATTGCAAATAGGCAGGTCATCCTGCCTTGTCTAGTGCACTAGATTGGGAAAACCAGCATGTGCCAAGAGTTTAGTTGGTTGGGACTCCTGAGGTGGGAGAGCAGAGACCTTTGGTGCAGAGTAGTCCTGCGTAGATCACATGGCTGTGGCTGTGTTGGGAAGGTGAGGCTGCGGTGCGCTTTTAGGGAGAGCGGATGCATTTTCAGCACAGCTTCTGTTTCCAGCATAGAGGCTGATTGCAGGATTTGTGGTGCTCTGCTCCTTGATGCTTGTCCTTTTGTGAATAGCCATAGAGTACAGGCAGCCATGGGGAACTTTCCTATTGCAAACTTCTACGGCGAACTATGGGGTTTCACAACAGGTTGTATTTGAAAAACATAACCTTTCTCCTTCCTCACCTGCTGGGTCCTTTGCATCCTTGCATATTTTGGTGCTCTGACATTTTCCTTGTTACTGTCGCAGACCGTGCGGCATCCGCAGGTTGGTCAGGGGCAGGGTGAGCCGGCCTTGTCTTGGCAGCTCCCTTCCTGCGCACATTGAGAACAAGCATTAAGCGCTTATACCAAGGCAGCCAGTGCTGGGCCAGCTGGGTCCTGTAGCGGACGCTCCATATTTGCTCATCTCTGAGCTCCCACTGGCTTGCTCTAGATGGGATCATGGTTCTACTCCTGGCAGGCCTGGAATAGCTCTTCTAGGGGTATCTGAGACAGCTCTTACTTGAGAAATAAAGGTGTAATATCTTTAGTTCCACTTGCGTCTTTCTCGCCAGTTAGGAGTGATGAGGCATCTCCTAGCTGTTTAAACCCTTTCTCCTTGTTTTGATATTAGGTTCCTATGGGTGGCGAAGAGCGAATGAAGGAGTTCCCCCCGCTTATCCCTCAGGACATTACCCTGGAAGGAATTGGTACCACTGAGGCAGTTGCGGACATCAAGCTTTCCTCTGCAGGTAATTTAGCATTTTCTCATTACAGTTTACTATGCAGGATCTGCATCCTAAAGACATCAATGGGAAGGGGCCTCTAGAGGGCTCAAGCCCTGCTCCTGCTTGGCGCAGGACTGTCACCAACACAATCGGGAACAACCATGACTGTCTAGCTGAGACTTGGCAACCTCCCGGAACAGAGGGAGATGCACAGCCATGCTTGTGCAGGATGATTGCATTTGAAGACTTTATGCTCCTGCTGCCAAACAAGTACCATAACATCGGCAGTGGCTGTGATACTGTGCAGGTTCTTGGACAGGTGGAAGGGCAGGGGCTGTAGATCAGAAAGCTCTTCCTTTGCGTCCCTGATAGTTCCCAGTATCCTCCCCATTGGTGAAGAGCTGGATATTACCTCCTGAGCTGAGTTTCTCAAAGAAATCAAGTCTGCATAGCTCAGGTAGTTCTTAGCCAAAGTGGGAGGCATTGAGTTTGTGCGAGTGCCCTCAATCCAATAGGAGTGACCCTCCTTGCTGACTGTCTCTGTTTTTTCGCTGTGCAGGCTGGGTGGCAGTGACAGCTCATGCGCAAGAGAAACTGCTGCTGCGAGCCTACACTCCTGAGGGTACTGCGTTGGTGGTGCGGGAGCCTCCCCTTTTGCCGTACATCTGTAACATCAGAGGTGCCCGAATCGGAGGCACTGCTGCCTATAGGACCAAAAAGCCTCCTTCCCTGGTGGAAAACCTGAAAACTACAGGGAGCGGATAGCAACCAAAGTCTGTGCCCTTTGCTGTCTGAGAGAAGCAGAAGATGGAAAAGCCTCTGGAGAACCTCCTTGCTTATTGGTGTTCAGGAGGGCTTGGACTGCTTTTAAAACGCAGACAGGCACGTTTTGGAGAGCAGACCTGGGGGGGGGAAGTAGAGCATCTGATTCAGGACTCACTCCACAAGCCTTGGTCCGAATACTGAACTGCAGCCATTTCAGATGAGCAAGGTGGCTGGGTACCTTGTGGGAGGTGAAATGTAGCTTCTCCCTGAGACCAGCCAGTGTCAAAGGGTTCCCCTTCCCCCCTCCCTCTTGAAATATAGGATGGGAACTCAGTCGCCTGCCCTGGGCTGCCTCTGTGCTTGTAGAGTAAGACTTGGCAGACCTGCTTGCTCTCTGCTAATTAGAAACCGTGGCTCTTGGAAGCCTTATGGTGTTCCCAAAGTTAATGGAGGTGGAAGGCGTCAGCCTACTGGTTGACAGTAATTCAACAGTTGACATCTGCCAAGGCTCTTTTTATACCGACCAGAAATTAGGTCCTTTTAGTCCTTCAACATCTGGGGCAGACAAGGGAGTACAGCGCCTTGCTTTTAGAGATGGGAAAGGTGAACTAACTAAAGCAGGGCTGCTCATGTGTATGGAGAGGAAGCTTCTGCAACTCACTGCTTGGGTTCGATCTCTTAGCTTGTGTAAAGATTTCTGAAACTGTGGGTATATAATACAACCTTTTGAAGATGCTTACTCCTTAGTCTCCTTTTGAAATCACTGGCAAAGCACTCCTGTGCAGGCGTAATTTTCCTGCTAACTACACAGATGCACCAGCAGGATGGCCTGGGCTGAAAAGTTGCTGTAATTTGAAAGAAGCTCATTGATGCCTTTTTGTCGGCCTGCGCTGCAGCTATGTTTAGGCAGATCAGCACAGCCAGTCTGCAGAAACACTAAAATGACATTCCCAGTCAGGGCAAACAACAGGCATTGGTTTTTACTTAAGCTGCTACGCAGCTACATGATGTTTTGTGCTGTGAGGAGAGCCTCTATCATGCTGGTAGCGTGTTTAATTCAAATGGTGAGTGTGGGAGAAAACAGTAGAAAGCGCCTCTTCTGCTAACGTCTCCTGCTTTGTGGGGGTTATGTGGAGCGGTCCCGGGAAAGCAGGCATGGAAAAAGAGACAGCTCCATCAGCTAAACTGGGAAACAGGAAAAGGGTCTGGCTGCGGTCTGTTCAAACTAGCTCGACAAATGTAAAACAGGCATCCCCTATAACATTCCTCCACTGCCTGAAGTCTGGGAAAGATAAAACAACACAAAAGGTGACCAACTCCACATGCAGAAAGAATAACTGAAAGGCCTGCCTCTGTTGCAGCCATTGGTCCTCAGCCCAGGCAGTGGGGGTGAAAAACTGTGGACAAAGCAGGTGTTCAGTGTAGCAGGTCCCCTGGTTGCCAAAGAGCAGCCTTTTTGCAACGATCGGTGTGTGGCTGCAGGGAGTGCTGGAACCTCAGCCTGGAGAGAAGGCTTGCTCCAAACACAGGGATGCGCAGCAGGGCAAGACTCCTGCGCTGAGTGTCCCTCTGTTCTTAGCCAAGACCTGCACGCAGCACAGCTGGGACAGTGCAAGGGGGTTGGAGTTGTGCAGGTGTTCAAGCGTTTTTGCCGATGCTGCACCGTGGCTATCGGCTCCACGGGCTACAAGGGCAACGAACGGTTAGCAACAGCCCCGAGTAGGCACAAAAATGTATGTTCCTGACAGATGTTAAAGCTCAACATGTAGGAGGTTGTAACATGGAAGCAATTAGCTTGATGAAAGCCTAGAAGTGTCTTTTATGAGCTTGTGGGGCTGAAATTAGTCCAGAGCTGAGGACCTGCTCTGAAATGCTTCTCAAAGTGAGAGTTTGTGTCTATTTTACGCCTATGCCAGGCAGCTTGCAAAGCAAGGCAATATTTAACATGTCTGTGGACAATAGCTAATTGAATGTTACCACGGGAGCCAAAAACAAAGGTGGTTTGAGTCTGTGCGCAAAAATGAAGCCTAAGAAAGGGGCTGGGAAAGCCCCAAAACCCTGGGAAGATCTGTCCTTCGTGGTTCTCCCAGTGTTCACTGCCTGGGTGCCAATATTTATAGCCGCTCTGGAGGAGTGGAGAAATCATTTGAAAAATGAGTATTCAGAGGAACAGCTCAGTTTGCTGGAGAACTGAGCGAAAGTTTTCTCTTGCCTGAGCATGTTGGGGTGGGGGGTAGGGGGGTAAAAGACCTATAGGGTCTAAACCCCTATAGGGCAGATTTGAACAAATAGCATCTAAAGTTGGTGGCATTGCCTCGGAGAGGCCGGGGGGACAGCGGTTGGGGTGCACGTGTCCCTGGCCAGGGCAGCACCGCAGCTTTCCAGCAAACCAGAGAGCCCAGCCAGAGCAGGGGAAGTGCGGTGTGCAGAGCCAGGCCAGGCATGGGAGGGTTGTGTCTCGCTGCTACCCTGCAAGCAGAGACGTGCTGCTGCAGCTGGGAGCCTGGGTTCATTTGCTTTGGCGCACATCCAATTTGGTGCTGACTTGCCAAAAAAAAGCAGCTTCCTTTCTCTGCCCAGTGGCTATTCACTTTGCAGGCCCTAGGATGGGACTCCCAAGCTAGGGAAAAGGCTGCCAGTTTTCCTGGTGAGAGCAAAACCCGTCCCAAGCAATGCTCACTCTTTTTGAGGTTTATTTTTTTTTTTTTTTTTCCTTTTTTGGGGCTGGGAGCCAAAAGGGCCAGAACTTTCGAGCATCTGCTTCCTGCTGGTCTTCCTGTGATTCACAGCTCATAATTCCCTATAAAATCCTCTCACCAGTAACTGTCTTCACACGTCTTGTAGCTAAGCTGCTGGGAATTGCCTAACATTTCTCGCAGCGGGGCAGAGCCTGACGGCGGGCCTGTGCCTTGGTCTGTGCTAGCAGAGGAGGGCTGTGCCCACGAAGGTCAGCTCACCGCAGTCCAAAGCAACAAAGAGACTTTTTGGCACGCTGGCTGCAGGCAAGGATGAGGAGTTGGTGGTTACTTCCCATGCCACGAATATTGGGTGCCTTGGTGGCGCTGGAGCCACAGCTCCTATTTATTCTGTGCCTCGGGTTTCCAACCCAGCCTCACCAGGCAGCGCCACATCATGAAAGAGGGAAGAAAAAAAGCCCTCAAATGATTGCAGGGTTGTTCTGGACAGCTCTGAGCAGATCCAGGACTTAATGCCTTTTGGAAGGAGTGGAGCAGAAAGGGGAGGGGTAGAAAAAAAAAAAAGTGAGCCATTTATTAAAATCAGGTCCCCCAACCCAGCAAGGGGCTCAGCCTTCTTTTGTGTTTTTGCTCCATAATGGCAGGGCTCAGGGCACCGAAAAATTAGTGCAGGTAGCAAAGTCGGAGGAGAGGGCAGGGCAGCATGCGCTATGCTGCGCGTGTGTGTTGTGCATGTGTGCCATTCTGCGCTGTGTGCGTTGTGCTGGGAGCGTGTGCTCCTGAAATCTCCGCTCCAACCCAAATTACTCCTTGGTGGAGCTTGAGGAGGCCACAAACGGCTCACACAACCCCTGCCACTAGCCCATAGGCAGGGATGGGTTCAGGCAACATACTTGAGCCCAAGGGTGTCAACACACTCATGGCATTGCCTTGCTGCAAGGCTGGGGTTCCCAGCAAGTGCAGGGACCTCAATTTACCAAGCCTAAAAATACCACCTGTCCAAGTGGAAAGTGATATTTTGCAGAAGGGTTTTAAGGGTGTTGGCCTGCTAGAAACAGCTGCTCCCTGACTATCCTGTGGTTATACTCTACATGAAAAAGGGAAAGCCACTTGTACCAGCACTGCTAAGCTTTAAAGCAAACCAAAAAAAAAAAAAAGGGAGAAAAAAATCATAATCAGGAACCTAGTGTTTCCGTTCCTTCAGAGCATTAGCAAAGCCCAAATAAGGCAGCTGAATTAAGACACAAGCTTGCTCTGTCCATGCACAAGCCAGCAGGAGGAAGCTGGCTCGACCCGAACTTGAACTAATTCACTTTTTGGGACCCAGGCAACTTGGTGTGTGGGTGGAAGGAGCTCATGCTGGCTTTCAAGGAGCCACACAGCATGCACTTGTGCTTGGCTAAACCATCCTGTAAAAGAACAACTTTAGCACAAAGCAGCTTGTGCTTTCAAGCTGGGAGGTTTTTCTCCTATTTTCTACCAAGGCGCAAGGAGCTAGTCAAAAATAATGATGATCGGAAGGCAGGCTTAAGGGAGAAGGTGTTCCTGCATCGCCAGCCCTCTTGTGTTACTTCTAGCATGAGATTTCACCTAGCTTTGTCCCCAGCTCACCTTTCTGGAGGGGAGACAGACTGGGCTGGTGGTGCAAAGGGCAAGGCCTCCTCCATCAATTCAATTTGAAATCATTAACTCACATGGTGCCAGCAGAAAGGCACAGAAGTACCCAGCCCCTGTGAGCTGTACACCCTGCGCTCTAGGGCAGCACCCTTGCCATCCACAGGCAGCATCAGGTGCTTCTCCTCCTCCTCCCTGTTCTTTACACCTGCTTTATGCTGCGCACACAGAGTCTTGGAGAGCACGTGGACGAGACATTAAGAGCAGTGAGCTGAAACGTCCCCCGTACCCCAGGTGGTCGGAGTCCCCTGCCACCCTATAGCCCTCCAAGGCCATGTCCTGTGATAACAGCGCACCCAGCTCTTGGCAGGCTGAGTATTAACTGTGTGGCTTAGAAACCCAAATTCACATCAACTGAACTAAGAGCACCCTTGCGGGTCTTTTTTGGATATGAGAAATGGAGGTTTAATCAGAGAACAGAAGAGCTCACGTTGGTGCCTCCATTAGTTTGGCTACTCAATTGTTCAAAGCTGCAGTAGCTGCATATACAA